CAAAAAACCCGCGAGCTGTTGAGAACAAATGATCACCAGTTTCAGGAAAATAAAATCAGCAAACATGGGCAGTTCATTCCCTCCTGATTCTACAGATGCGTCTTCTTTATGGTGCATCTTACTCAGTAATCATGGTTCTAAGGTGTGCCCATAAGGCAAACACGTTCACACAGTCAGTACTGTGACTTCATAATAACTATGATCAAGACTATAATTTCACATATTTTCATGTCTAACACTACAGTAACAGCATTTTAATAGATACTTACATCTTCAGGAGTTTTATCATATTTATTCCTTGGATTTTTTACAATCAAAGGGTGTGAAGAAAGCACGTTGACCACATCTGCATTCCCAAACTTACAAGCAAAGTGCAACGGTGTGTCATAGCCCTGAGAAAGGTTCAGAGAAAGAATATTTCTTATTTATGTTTGTTTCATAAGTTTGCTTTAAGATAAAAATACATATTTAGCAGAACAAAAACCCTCAAAATTAAAAGACCATAAAAAGACACTGTTATTGGGCGCCTGGGTGGCTCAGTTGGTTAAGCGACTGCCTTCAGCTCAGGTCATGATCCTGGAGTCCCGGGATCGAGTCCCACATCGGGCTCCCTGCTCAGCAGGGAGTCTGCTTCTCCCTCTGACCCTCCCCCCTCTCATGCTCTATCTCATTCTCTCTCTCAAATAAATAAATAAAATCTTTAAAAAAAAAAAAAAAGACACTGTTATTATAACTAAGAAATAAATGGCATGTTAGCACATACCCACTTTAAGCCAGGGCTTGAGGCCAGCCCAGCACCCATTACTGTTGCCCAGTGCATGGGTGCCCAGGCCTAGGGATAGCTTATAAATGAGCTAGGGCAAAATACCTGCTCAGTAAACAGCAGCAGCTTTAACATTTCAGGGCCCAGTACAATGTTATATAATCAATGCTCAAAAGGTGAAATAAACAGGGGCACCTGGGTGGCTCAGTCGGTTAAGTGCCTCTTAATTTCGGTTCAGATCACGATCTCAGGGTTGTGAGATTGAGTTGGCGTCAGACTCTGCGCTCAGCACACAGTCTGCTTGAGATTCTCTCTCCCTCTCTCTCTGCCCTTCCCCCTGCTTGTGCTCTGTCTCTAAATAAATAAATATAATCTTTAAAACAAAAGATGAGGGGCACTTGGGTGGCTCAGTCGTTAAGCGTCTGCTTTCAGCTCAGGTCATGGTCCCAGGGTCCTGGGATCGAGCCCCACATCAGGCTCCCTGCTCAGTGGGAGGCCTGCTTCTCCCTCTCCCACTCCTCCTGCTTGTGTTCCCTCTCTCGCTATCTCTCGCTTGCTCTGTCAAAATAAATAAATAAAATCTTTAATTAAAAAAAAAAAAAGGTGAAATAAACAGATGGAGGCAACACCCAGAATAAAACAAAGTCTATGAACTTGGTCTGTACCCAAAGAAAATTCTCTCTAGTGGCTAATACCTAGTAAATGAAACTCTACTCCTGACCCCAGGATGCTTGTCAATGCTCTGACTTGCCCTTAGTAGCCCCAATCCCAGATACCTTCAACTAAGGCCTAAAGATCAGCGGACTTTAGGGTAACAGCATCCTTGAGCCCAAGAGTTATAGAGTAAACCTCCTCTGGGTATCCTCACTTGAATGACCACAAGCTCCAATGTAGCACATCCAGAACAGAACCCACTCACATCTACCAGAGCTAGACACATGGCCATGCAGTCCACCTATGATCACCAAGGATGGCAGATCCCAGCTCTGAAGTCCCTGGCAGGTCATCCCTGCCCTCCATATGCCACACTGCCATCCCCTTAGTTTCTCGCCCAGACTACCAAGACTCCTCATGGGCCTTGCTTCCTGCACTCACTAGGTGACCCAAATGATCTTGTGTGAGCAAGCAACTTCAAGGCACCACCCATCCCCTGCTCCACACGCTCTATTTCATGTAACTCCCACATGAACCTAGAAAAGTCTGGGTGTTTGCCTACAGTAGCATCCCCTAACTGCATCTTGCCCTTTTGTCCAGGTTGGCAAACGTTCTCAACCGAGGGCCAGAAAGTGAACATTTAGAATGAGCAGTGTTGTGTTCCAATAAAGCTTTATTTACAAAAACAGGCTGTCCTTTGCTGGATCTGCTCTAGTGCATTCTCTGAATTCGGACTTTGATTCATGTTCTACCTGAGACAACTCCATCCAGCTCTGTGGCCCAAGCTCTAAGAAGAGCCTGATCTCCCGTCAGGCCTGCAGAGGTGGGAGGATGATGGTCACTGCAGATCAGGGGTCACTGTTTTCACTCATTCAGAGCATCCAACCACAAGGGGACCTCAGCACCCTTGCTTCCTTCTGGCCACTCCTCTTCTTCACACCTCATAACGTCCATCTCTAACCTGCTTCAAAATCTGCAAATTTGGCCGCAACCTCTCTCCTCATTCCTGCCGGCAACTGCTGTTCCTGCATAAGAGAGCAGGCTCTGGGTTCTTCGGACACTGCTGGCTGGCCCAGCCCTGCTTCTCACCGTGCTGATCTCTCTTGTGCCCTGTGCTTTCTCAATAGTCCAAATTTGTGGCCAACAATTTAACTGATTCCTACTCTTAGTGAGTTATGGTCAAAGATGGCCTATAACATCTAATTTCAAGAATGTATTAAGTGTTCCCTGTGGACATGCATATGCACATTTTCTGTGAATACTGCATAGACATTAAGAAAAACTGTGTATTTTCTGTAGGGCACACACTTCTGTTATGTTTTTCAAGTCACACTTCCTGATTGTACTAATCAAGTCAGGAATCCTTCCTTATTGAGTATGTTCACCCTTAGTTTTAACGGACATAACTCTGATTTTGCTCCTTCTTATTTTACACTTACTATTACTTTAATATAATCATTGTTTTCTCTTTTACTTCCTTCTATAATTGTGCTAGCTTGGCCAAATTTATCTTTACTCCCCCTTTTCTCTCTTGTTAATTTAAAAGTTATCCTTGCAGGGCACCTGAGTGGCTCAGTTGTTAAGCGTCTGCCTTTGGCTCAGGTCATGATCCCAGGGTCCTGGGATCAAGCCCCGCATCGGGCTCCCTGCTCCGCGGGAAGCCTGCTTCTCCCTCTCCCACTCCCCCTGCTCGTGTTTCCTCTCTTGCTGTCTCTCTCTCTCTGTCAAATAAATAAATAAATAAAATCTTTAAAAATAAATAAATAAATAAAAGTTATCCTGCTTTGCAGTTCTGGAATTCAATGTGTCACATTTGACACATGTCATGAAATAGTAAGTCACGCGCCACTCCAACATGCTTCTGTTACTCCCTCTCCTGCCAACTACAATTTTTCAAACTCCTAGGTTTGCTCAGAGCTTACAACTCTTGGCTCTAAACTATCACTGGGTTCTGCCTTATATAAATATGTAAAATTCTTCTGTTTTAAGAATTCTTACGTAAGGGTGCCTGGGTGGCTCAGTCGTTAAGCGTCTGCCTTTGGCTCAGGTCATGGTCCCAGGGTCCTGGGATCGAGCCCCACATTGGGCTCCCTGCTTGGCGGGAAGCCTGCTTCTCCCTCTCCCCACTCCCCCCATTTGTGTTCCCTCTCTCACTGTGTCTCTCTCTGTCAAATAAATAAAACCTTAAAAAAAAAAAAAAAAAGAATTCTTACGTAAGCCTATGCACCATTAAAAACCAACCCTTTGAAATTTTTAACTCCACAGGAAATATTCCTATATTAAGTGAGAAAAAAATATATAATACATAGAATCCTAGAATAAAAGGCACCAAAACCCCTTTACTTTCTTCTCTCTGTAGGTTTTGACATTGGCTCATCCTCCCATCAAAGCCCAGCTCAGGCCACTTTGGAAAAAGGCCAGGAGGGACCTGTCCTTGCACACAGCTGAGACTCAGGTATACCCTGCCTGGTGGGGCAGAACTCTTGTGTGTGAATGGATCTTGTCATCCATCCCTCTCTAAGCTGGCTGAGCTCAATGAATATGCCATCTCCTCTCTACATGCAGTGGGATGCAGTAAATACTCACACATGAAAGACACAAATCTTGTTTTGAAACTGGCTATGACTTCTCCTAAGGCACACTTACCGCTTTGTCAGGAGTGTTCAGATACAGGTCCACGATGTAACAAATGCGCTGCTGCAGCATGTTCGGGTCATCGTCTGGGTACATGAGCCGCATAAACTCAGGGTTTTCCAGGGTCTCCAGAGTCAGCTGGCAGATCGAAGCTTGGTTCTCTTTGGCAGCAACATGCATAACGTTGTACCTACATCCTTCCTGAAAGAAAACTGTAGATTCTGAGCTTCATTTTTGTCAACCAGTCTTTTGATGCTAATAATCCTAGAAGCAGGCTTACCTGCACGATGGTTGGATTGTCCCCTGAACCAATCAGATACCGGGGGTTACTCCAGGTGAGATCAGAAAAAATGTCTTCTTCTCCCTTCTCCACAGCTTTTCGAAGTTTGGCAGTGAGATCCTGAGTACGGGGGGTTTTATAACTGTTTGCCCGTTCTCTGTTTATAGTTTCTGACTCAGAGGAGTACAAACCATCTGTCATTAAGAGACAGAATTTAAGAACATTTAACTTCACAAACATTCTCTCATCACCCACTGTGTGCTACATTGAGGGCAACAAAAATCTCTCCCACAGAAGCTTCTAGCCTAGTTGGGAGTAACAAGTAAGAATCAATTAGCACGAACGGCAGAAGGGCATGTGTCCCAGCCAACAGCACAGCACCAGCATGACTACGGCATGAGCCCAAGAACAAAAGGACCTGACCGGACTCTCCTGCCAAAGGCTTTGTGAGGAGGGATAAGGGCACACCAGCAGCGTCTGCACAAGGACCTCCAAGCACACAGCGCATTCCCATAAAGGCAGAGTGAGTCAAAGTGTTGTCGTTTAATTACAACCCCCTGAGAACGTCTGAAAGCAATCTCTAGAGGAGTATTTTCATAAACTGCAAACTATCCAAAATCACTCTGGTTCCCCTCTAAGAAGCACCTGTGTAAGGCCAAGTAAGGAGAGAGAGGAAAGGGCTTTCGCCTGAAGGCCTTATGTCCATAAGGAGAAGGTGCCTTCCCTGGGAGTCCCAGCCCGCCTGGGACACAGGACAACTGTGAGCTCCTGGAAGGGACATGATGGAGGCTGGGCGGAAGTTAGAGGCTGCTGGGCTTCTGCACAGTGCTGACTGAAAAAGCCTCTCTCAAGACCCTGGTTTGGAGCCAGAGTGGGTATGGTCAGATCTCTGACTGGACAGGTCCTGCAGGTGAGCTCAACTTTTGCAGGACTGTCTGGGTCAAAGCTTGTGGCACAGTCCTAGAAGCAGGTGTAGCTTCATTCAGGTGGGAAGTAGACAAGGCTCAGCATCTAACAAAGCCCCTGAATCCCATGGGCAGCAAGGAGAGAGGGAAACAAAAGGAGCATAACAAAAGGGCCAAACGTGGCCCTTCTGTTTTCCCTTGGCCTTGTCAGCTTCAGGGCCTGGAGGAGATGCCTGGCCCACTCAGTGCCCCGCGGCCTTTCTCCTCAGGGTCATTCCCAGACCAGGTAACTGGCCCATTCTCCACGGCCTGGGCCTTAGCTCTCTACTTCCTAGCAAACCAGACTTCTCTCAAAGGAGAAAACCAATTACAATACATGTGGAAGAGAGCACAAAACACCTGGGGCCCACCTGACAGTAACACCAAGAAGTGAGCCACCACATCATTTACCTTTCAGTCCACCGCTGCTAAAGAACGGTGCTATTTTCACAGGAGAAAGTGGTGAAGAGGCTTTGCTTGGAGAAGGGAAATAATCACAAACTCCTCTAGCAAATTTCTCAGCATCTTCTCTACTTGAAAAAGCTTTAAATCGAGATCCTTTGATCATTTTGACAGCTTGTAATGCTTCCTTTCTATCTTCATAAACATGAATCCTTTCTGCATGGGAAAAGTAACAGGAAAATTAGACAGGAGTAACCGGAGTCACTGTCACTTAGTTCACACCTGAAGACATGGGTTTCATAATAAACAACTGTTACCCAGTTGTCTGATTTTTCTCTCATATTAGTATTTCAGATTTTTTTCTTAAAAAAAAATTTTTTTTTAGGGGCGCCTGGGTGGCTCAGTGGGTTAAGTGTCTACCTTTGCTTTTTTTAATCTTCTTTTTTTTTTTTAAGATTTTATTATTTGACAGAGAGCACAAGGCTTGGACCCCTGACACGCAGGGGGAGCGGCAGGCAGAGGGATAAGCAGGCTCCCCGCTGAGGAGGGAGCCCAATGCGGGGCTTAATCCCAGAACCTCAGTATCATGACCTGAGCCGAAGGCAGACACTTAACCCACTGAGCCACCCAGGCACCTGTTAAACATTTTATTTTTTTATTTTTAAAGATTTTTTTTTATTTATTTGACAGAGAGAGATACACAGCGAGAGAGAGAACACAAGCAGGGGGAGTGGGAGAGGGAGAAGCAGGCTTCCCGCAGAGCAGGGAGCCCGATGTGGGGCTCGATCCCAGGACTCTGGGATCATGACCTGAGCCGAAGGCAGACGCTTAACGACTGAGCCACCCAGGAGCCACCTAAACATTTTATTTTTAAGTAAGCTCTACACCCAACATGGGACTCAAACTCACAACCCCAAGATCAAGAGTTGCACACTCCACTGACTGAGACAACCAGGTGCCCCAATATTTCAGATTTTTAATCTTGAAGAAAAAGGGCCTTAGCTAGTCAAAAGAACACAATAAGCTTGATCATATGTATGGGCATGGATATAAAAATATGTATTTTGTATACATGTGTAACTTTTTATTTAAGGATACTATTTCATACTGAAAAATAAAATTCTTGGATTAATGCTCTAAATAAAAATAATAATAAAAGCAAGTTAAAAATTACGACTATATTAGCAAAGAATGTAAGAGATTTTTAAACATAATTTTGGGTGGGGAATGCCTTTCTAAGCATGCCAAGAAACCAAGAATACATTAAGGAAAAGAAAGTTCCAATTACATAAAAATATTAAAGTTCTGTAGGAGAACTATCATAATTGAATTCATATGAGACTCTCATAAATACATAAAACACAAATGACAGATGGGGAGAAAAAAAAATTTTTAAGTGGAGAAAAAAATTTTTAACTAACGTAACAGAATAATAATGTCCGTCGCGCAAAAAAATGGTCAACAGATATGACCAAAAGATACATCCAATTAATACAAATAAACTATAACAACATAAAAAAAGTAATCCACCTACAACAAGATAGAGGTTTCCCTTATTCAAAAGATGTAAAAGAGAAGTTCAATAACATGCAGTGTGGTTGACAGAGCAGAAACAAGACACCTGCCTTCCCTTTTTATAGATTTAAAACGTTGAGTTCAGTACTGTAGAGACTGGAAAAATCACTCAAACACAGTGAATGCCAATGCCTTTTGGAGGGCAGTGGCCTTCAAAGTTTTAAAAATACATACCTTTTGACCCAACACTTCTACTTAGCTTTTTTTTTTTTTTAAGATTTTATTTATTTATTTGAGAGAGCTAGAGAGAGTGAGAGAATGCACGCGCAGCGGGGAGAAGCAGAGGGAGAGGGAGAAGCAGATCCCCGCTGAGCAGGGAGCCCAATGCTTAACCGACTGAGCCACCCAGGCGCCCCTCTACTTACCATTTTTATGAAAATAAAAATAAGGTACATTTTTTTTTTAAATTTTTATTTATTTATTTTAGAGAGAGAGTGAGAGAGAGAGAGAGAGCATGAGAGGGGGCAGGGTCAGAGGGAGCAGACTCCCTGTGGAGCAGGGAGCCCGATGTGGGACTTGATCCTGGGACTCCAGGGATCATGACCTGAGCTGAAGGCAGTCGCTTAACCAACTGAGCCACCCAGGCGCCCCTAAAAATAATAAATCTTTAAAAAAAAATAAAGCTCACAAACAAAATGAGGTGTCCTGTGAGATACCTTTAAGCTGGCTACCGTCCCCCCCTCTGTGGAGTTTGGACCCAGACTATATGTGAAAAGCACGCAGACCATTTCCTCCTGCGGTTTGCAGGCCGTGTGGATGAGAACCTCCAGGTGCTTCCCGGAGCCACTGCCCTCCTGCCGAGATGGGGCCGTGATCCACACACTTCCAGCCTAGCCGGGAAGCACGCTGTTGCAAAGGGATGTCACGGCGCTGTTTCCCGAGCCCTTGGCCATCTCAAGCTCCAGGAGTTGAGCTGGGATGCGAGAAGGGCCCACCCCCACACCAAACAGGTAAAAAAAAAAAAAAAAAAAAAAAAAGGGGGAAGACCAACACAGTTTAGAATCTCCCATTGTTTCCAGGAAAAGACATCGCCAAAGTATACTTTTTACCAGAATCTGCAACATTCGTTGTCCTGAGTGAGAACATGCATGAAGGCAAGCAGAATTCCAGTAAATGCTGCTTCTGGTTTTAGAAGTTGCTGATTGCTGAGAATTCCTTCTCATCTAGGAAAGGCTTGGAGGTTCTTCCAACGCTCCTGTGTTTATCCATCAAACCGGACGGTAGCAGCATACAATCCTATTTGCATTTCCCACATAATCTGCACGAGGTAGGAGATTTCTGAGTGACCTGGTGATCTCTAAATACCAGGCTCCCCCTCAGTGGTAAGTCTTGGGTCCTTCCCTCAGCACACATTCCCGCTGCACCTTCCACCGATCTGTGCCCAGCCCCTCCTGAACACCCACCGTACAACCACCGCGGGTGCAGCATGCTTCGTTTGGTGCTTGCAAATGTTTAGCAACCTTACAGGCAAAAGAAAAAAGTTCAGGGACACAGGACCCTTCCTTTCCTGATTACTGCAGAGAAAACAAAGATTGCATCCTCCCCCTTTCAGGGAGTCAGGGCCACACAAGAAGCAGTCAGCAATCTTCACTTGGGCTGTGCAGCATGTGTTAACGGACCCCTGTTTAGGGAAGCTGATAAGAGCGGAGTCCTAGGAAAGTAACGCATAAATCCTGCCACAAAACCACATTCTGTGATCACCAGTTGACTTCTTTTCTATACAGTTTTATCATGCTGGTCATTAATGAGAACACTTAACGGAAGACTTTCCACGTCTGGCTAACTCTTCTGAAAATAGAGTATGGATGGAAGAGGGGAAACTGGGCCACGACACGGGAGACTCAGAGAAGTATTAATGGTCCAGCTGTCGTCAGCCGTGACAGTCTGTGGGGCCCAGTGGTGGACGCAGCACCCCGTACAGGGACATGCTCGGGGACATGCCCGCAGCCCAAAAGGCACCTGCCCTCCTGTCTCTCGGTCTGCTCAGCAGAACGCCTCTCCTTCATACCCACCTGCGTGTGGCAGCAGGTGCAGCGTGGGCTACGGGGAAGGGCATGGCTAACACATTGCCATTCTTCTGCTATGGTCAAAAGCAGCACAAGTTAGATTTCACACCCATCTGAATCTTTTAGCAGAACAGTAAAATGCTCTTTTAAGACAAGTATTTAAACCGTTTATAACAACCCAAGATTAAATTTACTCCCAAATACGGCAAACTATATATATTAAAATAAGGCCCCCAATGAAATATGAAAAACTTTAACAAAAAATAGTTTATTGCACAAAATTTAAGGAATTCCCCAGCACACTTAAATTTATAAAAAATCAACATGCTTTTTAAAGTTACAATTCGTTGGGCATGGTGACACCTTTTCCCTAACAGCCCCAACCTGAGGACTCCCTTTCATGAGGAAATTTTTAACAGAAATGAGTAACTTAAAGCCATCCAGTTTTCTAGACCCTCTACAACATTACCTTCAAGGGTCCTATTATAACCTGAGACCACCACACAATCAGATTTGCCTGGAACGTGTTTGCGTAAGGCTCAGGACGTCTCACACGTCACAGGGGTCCTTGAGGAAGGCTCCAGGACATTTGTCTTTCAGATATACTGGTCCCTTTCACTACTAGAAATCTTTACACAGGACATTTCATTTCTATTTAAAAAGTTACTCATAGGAGTAGGACTATATGCCGTGGCTTCTGCAGTAAGTAACCCTACACCAAGAAAAGTCTTCAAACTAAGAAAGAGTGTAATGAGAATCTTCCTAGCAGGTCTGTCCCATGACCTGGACCCAGGCCAGAGAAAAAGCCTATCAAACCCTTGCCTGTTAGACCTTCCAAACAGTAGAACAAAACCTATGTAAATCCGTAAGATCCGTGGCATCTATCCAATGTGTTCCATGGAAAAATCAGTGATAACCACACTGCAATAAGCTTTTTTTTTGGAACATAAGAGAAACAAGAAATACGGTATTCATCACACAGGATGAATAATATACACAAACATACTGTAACAGCAAGCCTGTTCCTATAAATAATCGACTGGACTGTTGTTTTCCATGAGTAAATTCCAAATTCCCACTTCTGCCCACAAACAGAATATTTCAAATGATACTCACTGCAGAATGTAGCCTGGGAGGTAGAAGTGCCAATCAAGTCCCTTAGAGATTAAAAAAATAATAATAACCCTCAATAAATCAGAAGCAGGTGATTTCAAAGTCCAACTTCCTCTTCCAAGTGACTTGTTAAGAAGCCTAAAGGTGGTGTCAGCTTGAACAAAAGGGCCCCAGGTCAGGAGCTGCAGGCCACACAAGAAACATCACAGTGCGTGGGGACAGCCAGGGAGGTCAGACCAGAGGCAGGCTGGTGTTGACGGAACTGAAAGATGGGGTGACCACGACGGTGGCACAGGACAGCAGGAGAGCAGGGGGCGCGGCTACTGCAGGCCCGCACAAGCCCGCAGGTGCACAGACACAAGTAAGACATGAGGGAAACAGGGTGAGGAACAGAAATCTGCTTTCACTTGAGGATTATTCAGAATCCGTTTACCCTTTCCTAATAAAAAATGCACAGTGACCGGCTTTCACTGGGAGACCTCCAATAAGCAGCAGTGAGAAAGTAGCCACAGCATGAGGCTGAGTGTCATGTCTTGGTTTTAAAATTAAAACTGAGGATAAAACACCCAAAATAAATAAGAATGTAAGTTACGATTTTTCTTTTCTAATGGTACAAAAACAATTTTGTCAAAAACGATTTCCAACTTAAGATGAAAATAGGATATATTTATAATGAAGTCTTCAAGTATTATTTCAAGATTAACCCTGTACAAGTGATCTACGTATTTCAGAAGTTTCAATACTTGCTAGGGAATTTTTTTTAAACACTAAGCATCTTTGTGGTTAATGCTACCTTATCAATTTACCTTCTAATAGCGTAAGAGAACACAAACAGCTTAAAAATATCAAACCGTTTTCTCCACAAAAGAGATGTAAGTAGTAAGTTGACACGAGCATATCTGGCCTGATCAGTAACACTTCCAACTTCATCTCCAGACCAGCAGATCTGCACCAGGGGCCTCTCTTCTCTGACAACAGTTCACTATCAGCTTAGATTTCTTGGCCAATAGGGGACAAAGTTACAGCCCTCCGGGGTCATAGACAGTCAAGTAAATCTCCCACGCTCACGGAGCCTGCTTCCAAATCAGGCTCTCACCTACAGGAGAGCTCGGGTGGCCTCCACTGCCTTCTCACACAGCTGACCTGCCCGTTCTAGAAAACCCTCCAGATGAGAGGTTACGGGACCTTCTGAAGGCTGTCACCGCAATGAGTTCAGCATGTCCCCTGATGACCACTGATGACCACACAGGCTCTGATGGACGTATTTTCATGTGGGCCCGGGGTTGGGGGGGGGACGGGGGGAGGAGGCCTGGAGAAGCCTTGCACCTGGCTCAGAGCCCTGCAGGGAGCCCTGGTCCCTCTCTCCCCTCCTCTCCTGTGACCCCTCCCCAACCATCTCCCATGTCAGGCCAGCACATTGGTGATTGGTGTCCTTATGGCCGCCAGGCCCGCCTAGGGGACAGCCAAAGTGAGTGAGGCCGTGCAGGGTCAAGGGTCAGATGGGGTGGGGTGTGCACTTAGGACAAGGCTCTCAAAAATAAAGTGAAACTGAAACAAAAAACCTTTTCGCTCCAAGAATATTTGGTTTTAGAAGGTACAGTAAATAAAATAATTATATTTCTTAAAATATAATTTTCTGACTGACATCCCTAAATCCTACATGTACGTTACTTCCTGACAGCAGATTTTCAAAAGGCGATCAATAAAAAGACAATTCAGGTCATTCTTAAATAATATGGAATACACTTTTTAAAGATTAGCTTATGATTTTCAGTATTTATATACACATCCTATGGTGAGATAGCTATTGAAAATAAAAACCAAAGGTGCAAATAAAGTTTCGTTTCCGCAGGGAGCTAAAGCTCTCACGGAATCTGGAAAGAGAGAAGCGGGACCCAGTCATGCAGCGTTTCCACCGGTGGCCACTGATTGGCATCACCCTCAGGGGGCTGCAGCTACAGTCACTCAACAGAGACCTCCTCCCGCAAGTAACCCTTCAGACACATTCAAAAACTCACTGAGATCTAAACTAGGTTGCTAGCATTTGGTCATTTCAGGGGAAAAGCTAGTTGTGATCTGCAAATTACTATTTCTCTAATCCTTGGCTCTTGTTCAGTTCTTTTACTCCTTGAAAAGGCAGATGCAAAATTTAAACTTCATCTCTTAGAAAAACACAGAGCAAACAGTCAAATAAATAATATTGATAAAAGATTATTCCTTTGGGTAGTTACAAGCACTCGGAGTGGGGGTGCTCGGCGGCCGCTGTTCCAAGCGCCTCTCTGGAGACCCTGCACTGACTGTGTCGCTCTGTATCTCCCCTGGGGTTGGCGTGATCTCCCAGGGGAGCAGCACTGGCAGCGGGATCCCCCTGAGTCCATGAGGACAGTGACTCGTGCACGGTGACGGCATGTGCCTCCATCTGGCGCTGCAGGCTGTCCATCTCCTGCCTGGGCAGACAGGGGAAGCAAGGAATGCAGGCCAGTCAAATGAGAGCCAGAAACGACGCTGTTACTTCCCCAAGAGGCAACTGGTCATCTCCAACACGGATCCTAACAAGCCTGACTCAGACAGCAGCCTGCTCATCTGCGGCACCTTCGGGTGGCTGACAGAACCTGTCTATTTGGGAAGCAGCACCCGGGGGGTCACACGATTTATGGGGCTCAGCAGTTTCCTCTGCAGGTGCAGAGGTCTGCACACACGGGCCTGTGCTCAGGGAGAAGGTGGGTGAGACAGCACTGAGGGCCTACACATGGCCTCCATTCACAGGGTCAAAAAGATGTCCCCACAGGGCCACGTCCTGCAAACACTGGCCTCAGGCTCTTGGGAGTAAAACCTTGAGCTATGTGTGGGTTTCCTAAGGGTCACCTAGCTCCAGGCAGTCCTCCCGTATGACAGGGACTGAGGGCCTGAGTGACCCCACATAGCACAGACATGCCCAGCCTCTTCGGGGCACGCAGGGCTGGCAACAGGATTCTTCCAAGTTAAACATGCAATCTATTTTTAAAGACCAAGTGAGATAGAACACAGAACACAGTTCATACTTTAGCTGCTGGAGACAACTGTTGAGGTTCTTGAGGGGCTCCTTGCTCACGGCAGGTGGGGGCCTCAGCAGCTCCTCCAGCAGGGAGGCCGGGACAGGGCAGTCAGGGATCTTCACTGGCGTCACGGGGCCAGAAGAGCTGGCCTCGCCTTTCAGTTCCTTTCTCTGTTTTTAAAAGCACATGGTTAGAGCCCTCTCACTTGGAGGCTGACACCAACCACACCTTCCCCTTATCGGTCCCCGATCATCACAACAAGTGCTCCCAGAGGGCATCCTAGCTCACGATGGGCCCTCGGGGAAGGCATGCCCCCCTGCTTCCAGGCTGGCAGAGCTGACAGCCAAAGGGTTCAGGGAATGTTGGCTGAATGGGTGAGCGTCTTCCTAATGCACGTGACCATGCACAAACAGCGTAATGCTGGCTACTCAGGAGGACGACCTAAATCACAAGCGAGAACACCCTTATGGGAACTGTGGGGGCTTTCCACAAAAGACCACAGCCTTGACCCTGCATATCCCTAAGAAATACGTCAATTTTTAACTCCTACAACTCCCCTTTCTAGAACTTCAAACTTTTTCCACAGATAGCCAAACAGTGCTAAATAAACCTCTGAGTCTGAGGGATTTCTTTGCACCTGGAGAATATTTACGTGGCCTGAGCAGAGAAACAAATGCTGGGTACAGAGGGTCTGGGCGGGGCTCCCCAGGCCCCCAAGCCCATCTGGCAGTGCTGGCCCCAGCTGGCTCACCTACCAGGCCAGGGGCTCTTGTGAAGACCAGCAAACGAGCCCTCATGTGGCTTATAAAGCGTATTACAACAAAAGGATACGTGATTCATAAAAAGAAGCAAAGAGCTCTTGGAAAAGGCACCAAGATAAAAGTGTCTGGCCTGCTGCCAAGCACAAGACTCCAGCATCCTTTCTGCACACAGTAGCTGCTCAGTGTTGGTTACACAGAACTTCCTGTCTGAGTAACCAGAAAGTACCCCAGCCACCCGCCCAGCAGGGGTGCCTTGGGCCCGGGAACCTGATGGAGGCGCGGGGTCTGAGTACCGTCTTCGCTGCGCCACGCCGCAGGTCCAGTCTGAGCTGCTGGTTTTGCTGGAGCAGAGTCTTCATGTTGTTCTTCAGCTCTGACACTTTAGCTTGAAGCATGAATTTATCTTTCTGGGTCAGGGACAGATCGTCCTGCACCATCTCCAACTCGGCTCTGATGTTCTAAAGAAGGGGAAGTCACACGTTTTTATAAACTGAAGGATCTTGCCTGTGCTGCTAAGATCTTAGCTTGTATGTCACAAGTCTAAGGGGCTAGAAACTAACAGCAACTCTTCTATGATGCTGTATGCGGTCTGGGCTGGGCAGCGTCCCATTACAGTCACATCCTCAACGTCCTTACCCAGATTTCAGAGCCTCTGACGAGGAACCAGCAATATTCCCGTGTCCACTGTCTATAATGGATCCCAAGAGTCCATTTAAATTCCAAGGTCAGGGGCCCCTGGGTGGCTCAGTCAGTTAAGCGTCTGCCTTCGGCTCAGGTCATGATCCCGGGGTCCCGGGATCGAG